TGTTTTATCATTAACATTTTATCTTTTTAATTTCTTTAATTTTAATTATTATATAAGTTGCATGTTTATTTAGTGTGTGTTTTAGATTTATATATATAATCTTGATTAATATATATAATATTATTTTATATTTAATTTTATTCATCTTAAATATTATTTTGTATTTATAAATATTTACTAATTGTATATAATCATAGTAATGTAAAAATAATTTTTTTTAATTTTATGGACATTATTTTCCAACGCTGAAAATAATGGCTATATATCCCTCTAAGGTCAAAAAAAATAAGTGATAACGATAAGTTAAAACTTATTATGAGTTTTTCGTTATCCATTATTTTCCAGCGCAAGCGCTCAAAAATAACTATTTGGCACACCTTTTTTTCATCAACATTTTCTAGTGCAAAGCGCTGGAAAATTCTTATTTTCCAATTCATTTTAAGTATTTTCTATTGCAAAATGAACTGGAAAATAACCTTTTTTGTAGTAGTGCATGGAACAATTTTGTTGCTTCTTTATGTTGACGACATGGTAATTACATAAGATAACAAAAACTATTTACTCCGGTTCATTGATCAATTACATGTAGAATTTGTAATTAAGAGTAGATTTGTGGGGAAAAAGTTTATAACAAAGGAATGACGAAATTGTTATATAGGAAACATGGTACTGTTGAATGATTTCACAAAGGGCAAGCTAAAGCAGACAATTAGAGTTTGTAGTGCAAAAGAGTGTGATCAAGGAGGAGAACAAATTGTATGGAAAGAATTTGTTTGTGCTCCTCAAAAGATTGTTCTAAGAGAAAAGACCAATGATTCATGAAGAAGTTATGTGATAGCAATGAAATTTTAATTAAAGGATATTTAGTTAGGTCCAAAGCTATGGCACATGCTATGTATATCTTTATAGTGGAGAGTGAAGTGAAGCTAAAAGGATCAATGAAGAAATTATTTTGAGGAGGGTGAGCATCATTTGAGGAAGAGTGAGAAAAGTTAGTTTTGCAAAAGATGAGGAAGGAACTTGAAGGACTAAGGTTCTATTAAATAAGATTGAGATTTATAGATGATGACATATCTAATCGATTCTCCTTGTTAGCCCCATAAGCAGTTTTAATTTGGTGAGATCTCTTCAGTACCTATTAACTTTCTTCAAGATCCATAGAATTAGTAAAAGGTGTGTTTTCTTTAACCCCAAGGATTGGATCTACTAGTAAGCAAGCATTGTCTTGTAGGTAAGGTCCAGGGTTCAAATCTTGAGACTAGCACTTAAAAAATTTAATTTTCTTGAATGCATGACACTGATGTGGGAAGTGTACCCTTAAGACCACCCAAGGACGGATTAGTCTCAAAATGCCAAAAAAAAGGGGGTAAAAGGGCTCAACTTCATTGTTGATGGATCTTGATCTCATTGACATGCACTTCAAAGTTCTTTTCTTTCTGTCATGTGTAACCTTCAATCTCGGTTAACTTTTTTGCACTGCTAGGAATACTGGGATTGGAAAATCTTGTGTAAAGTAGTAATTTAACAGTTCAGTATATGTGCGGCAAATGTTTTTATTCATAATCAGCTTTGTAGATAATGTATTTCTGCACATGTGGCATCATCTGGTGAAACACGTTGAAACATGTCCGATCAAAGGAAGGTAATTGTTTTTTTTATATCAAAACTATGCACCAAAAAAAAAAAAAAAAAAAAGAACAATGCCACGAGATCTAACATTCATTGATTGATCTGTTCCTGCTTTTACAGTCTACATACCATGGCAACGATAAATGTAGTCAACATCCAATGGGTAATATGCTCACCATGTACAAGAGAATTAATCAGGACTGGTAATGTAAGTATGTATATGCAAACACCATTTTCCCCTTTTAATCTAACTGGAAAACACCAATTGTCTACCATGAAATTTGGTATTGTAAACTCGATGTACAAAACAATCTATCCGAATGAAGTGATAATGTTGGTACATTTTTTGACCTTTCTCTCTCTACAATCTGTTGACGGTTTAATCTGACTAGAAGAGACTATAGTATATGTATGCTATTATCTTTGTGACAGGGTCTGTTTAACAGGAACTGCCTCGTACTCCAAATTATTCTATTTGCATTGCAGTAAGGAGACGAACCCTACCTTGATAGCCCGAGAGTGTTACGCGATATCCTATATGAACAATTGTGATCCAAATTAGATGACCTTCAATAGAAACTTCAAGAGCCATCCTCACCATCTGATAGAGAAGGGAAAACCTAAAGGTCTGTCTTCATTGAGTATGAGGAGCAGATATATAACGTAAGGAAAATGATCAGTACACTCAATATTTCAACATCTAGTTCAATATCTTTCGGTTTAATCATTAAAAATATAATATAAATATAATTAATTCAGTCGGTTCTTGTATCCTATATACATAATTGTACCATTATAGTTATTTGTTTTTAATTTCAAATTAAAAATTAATGATTTTTTAATGACTAAACTGGAGGGTATTGAACCGGGTGTTAAAATATTGAGTGTACCAATCACTGTTTATAACATAATTAGTAACATGTTTAAATATTATGTTTAATAAAATTAAAATTTAGAAATTAGTCTAAAGTTGTCCTGTATGTAGTGGAAACGAGATATCTCCAAGTCAGAACATACGATGAGATTGTGACTGGCTAGAAGCGGTGTCTCCACCTCCCTCCCTCTGTCTGGAATCATTGTCAATAATTGGTATAAGAATAATCTAGTATGTATAATCATTTGTTGAATAGAAGAGGATGCACAAGTGGGTATAACTATTTCCTGAATGAAAGAAGATAGACAACTAGGATTCTTAGAATACATATCTGACTCACCTGTGGATCTCTCTTCTACGTTGCTTATCCTATGAAGAACGTACAAGAGTCTCTGCGGTAGTGTACCAAAGCGAGGGTCTATTTCGAGGCCTTCATCGAACACTACAACAAGGTCGTCCACGGGAAAGGTATCAGTTTGGAGGTGTAATATGGATTGCCCGGTTGTTGGTGGGATGATAATCCTCTGGAACATTAAAGAAAAATGATGAACATACAAAACCCAAGATTCAAGTACTCGCACTCGGAACAACTAAAAAACCTATTTAACAAACAATTAAGAATCATATAAAATTCAAGATTCAGCTTTAATTTACCATCAGCATTGGGGTTGAACTCTATTATGGTGCTCATCAATCCCCAACCTAATTCTATAACCCTTTGAATCCAGCTTAAAAATGCTTGAACACTGAAAAGTTGTGTTGACCCAACTGGAAGGTTTTCATCCAAGGCATATTCGGTAATGTCAACATCTACTGGAGCACCGTTTGGGAAAAACAGCTGACATCTCATACGATGCTGATCAAGAAAAAGGATTCTCATCTGTCTATCGACCTCGGCCATGTCTCGGATGCCCCATAACAACCGGAACATAATCCAAAGTTCCAAACCTTAGCCACCCGAAAGCTTGTCATGGGATGGGAATCCTATAAAATAAAAATAAAAATGAAATTAATTAGTAGACTTAAGGCCCAAGATTAATATCAATAAAAAGGGATGACCCAAAATATTGACTTGGACTAGTATGAGCAACCCAATCTCATGAATTGATTCTGCGTCTCTGGTTAATATTTAAAATATACTTGTTGAATTAAAAATAACGAAAATCATTTCCGGTTTATTTAGTCTAATTTATATTGAATTAATTTATTAACATATACTTGTTAAATTAAAAATAATGAAAATCATTTATTTAATCTTT